CACACACACACACACACACACACACACACACACACACACACACACACACACACACACACACACACACACAATACACACACACACAAAGACACACACACACACAAATACACACACACACAAACACAGCAATTAGAAAAGGAGACGGGCAAGCTGTTCAAGAAGAAGAAGAAGTTTGAGGACACAGAACGCAAGACGGCACAGAAGTGCGACGACCTCACAGTGGAGATCAAAGACCTGGATGGACTACTGGTGCAACGACAGCAGGTGGGGGGTAGACTACACGTGCAATATAATCTTATGTTTATTAGCAATGACAGCAATACACGTGCAATATAGTCTTATGTTTATTATCAGTGACAGCAGGTGGGGGGTAGACTACTCGTGCAATATAGTCTTATGTTTATTATCAGTGACAGCAGGTGGGGGGTAGACTACTCGCGAAATATAGTCTTATGTTTACTAGTGCTCGGATAGTCACTACTCTCGCAGATTGGTTGGTTGGTTAGTATAGTTGTTATGTGTGAGATACATTGTGTCTTTGTATACAGTTCTAGTGTTGATAGGAGTGTGGGCATACATGTATGGTTTAGGCACAACGACAGCAGGTGGGGGGTAGACGTACTCGTGCAATATAGTCTTATGTTTACTAGTGCTCGGATATACACTGCTCGCGCAGATTGGTTGGTTGGTTAGTATAGTTGTTATGTGTGAGATACATTGTGTCTTCGTATACAGTTCTAGTGTTGATAGGAGTGTGGGCATACATGTATGGTTTAGGCACAACGACAGCATGTGAGGGGTTAGTCTACACGTGCGTATAGTCTTATGTTTATTAATACTTTGAAAGACATTACGCTCGTAGATTGTTTGGTTGGTTAGTATAGCTGATGTGTGCGCGATACATTGTATATCCGTACGCAACTCTAAGTGTTTACAAGCGCGTGTGCATGCATGTATGGTTTATATGGTTTATATGGTTTATATGGTTTATATGGTTTTAGGGCTCCTGCTACAGCGACAGAAGGTGAGAGAAAGGTTACATCTCATCACCGTATTCCATTTATGTTTGTTATACCAAATATAGTTTATCGCTTTATACCTACACAGTACGGTTTGTGTGCGTCTTTATCTCGCCACAGTATAAGTGTTCGGAGGAGTGCATGTCTAAACAAAACGTATGACTTGTGAGGATGTTTAGTACACGGTCAGAAAGTGGGTGATTGACCAAGCTTTTATCTTATCAACACGATTGTTTATATAATGCATATGTTCTAACACCAATACTAACTGTATAAATATTTTAGTGTTACATATATTCCAATGCCAATACTAGCTGTATCATTATTTCAATTTTACATACATTCCATAGCACCACTTGCCCATCAGTATATCCACTAACCGGCGTTCTAAACTCTGCACAATGTTTTGAACTCGTTAACTCGTTGTGGTTGCAGGAGGCGGATCAAAAGAATGAGAATATGAAGGAGGCGTTTAAAGCACACGAGGCTACAGTCAATGCACTCAAGGAAGAACTGGCCAACAAGAAGCAGAATGCAAAGTATGCGGGTGACAGAAACACGCTCACACACACACACACACACGCACGCACACACACACACGCACGCACACACACACACA